TGGGAGGAACTGGTGGAGCTGGAGGAGGTAGAGGTTCGGAACTACACGATGGTAGAGCCTCTGGCGAGTCGGCAAGGGCATCAGCTGCTGGGAGCCTTGGCGAGGATGGTGGCCAGGTTGAACTACCTGAATCTCCCTGTCCGGCGAGTTCATTTGGATAGGGCGGGAGAGCTGGCCAGCAAGGGGCCTATACGTCTGGGGGAGACTGGAAAGCGAATGGACGTGGTGTCCCGGAAGAACAATGGCCTATGATAGCACGCCATGTGGGGGAACGGCGAGGTCGGCTTCAGCTGGAAGCGCTGGGGTATGTGACCCCGGAGCTGCTCTTGGCGCGCTCGTAGGAGGAGGGGATGGGTCCGAGGCCCTGATGTATCAGTGTCGCTGACCTCGGGAGGCCATGTGGTGGAAACCGAGGAGGGCAAGTTCGTTAGGGTGGTGGATGTGGTTCCCTCGGAGCAGCCTGAAGGAAAGGATGGAGGCCTAGAAGGGGCCTTGGAGGTGCAGGAGAGGAACACTGGAGAAGGACCTCTGCGGGCACTTGGGGAGCCAAGGTTTCGACTTCGGGAGAAGACCGCGGTCAAGGATCTGGTGGTTGAGGAGCTTCAACAGCGCTTGTGGAGGGGGAGTGAGTTGGCGAATGAGGAGTTTCGGAAAGTGGAGGTTGGAAAGGAGTATGATGGAGTGGCGATGGACCTCATATACCAGGTGGACTTGGAGAATGAGGAGATTGCGAGAAGGCTGGAGGAGGTTCAGATGAAGGCTTGCCAAGTAGAGCTGGAGGGGGTTCAGGAGGTCAGTGAGGAGCTGTTCCTTCAGACGAGGACGGTTGGTCTTCAGGAGGTGCGGAAGAATCTGGAGAACTGGGTGCCGTCGATGAAAGCGGAGGTGGACAACTTCGTGAGCAATCAGGCCATTCAGAGAGTGTCCAAGGGGGAGGCAGAGCTGGTGATGGAACAAGCCAGGTTGAGTGGCAAGAGCGTTGAGGTCATTCCAGCGATGGGCGTCTTCACGCGGAAGTCCGGTTCGGGAAGGCACCGGTCACGGATTGTGTGCTGCGGGAACCGGATGAACGACAGGGCCACGGAGGAGCTCTACGCATCAGGAGCGGATGCAACCCAGGTGCGAACCTTGCTGCGGAAGGCAGCACTGATGAACTGGGACATCATGTCCCTGGATGTGAAGTGTGCCTTTCTCTTGGCACCGACGAGCCAGGACGAGCTGATCGTGGTTCAACCCTCGAGGATCTTGGAGGAGGCTGGGCTGGTGAGTGCCCAGGAGCGATGGATAGTGACCGGGGCGATGTATGGTCTGACCACAGCTCCGCGGGATTGGGCAGGGCATCGGGACAATACCCTGCGCACCATGGAATGGACCCAGGTGGTTGATGGGCAGCCGATGACTCTGGGGCTGGTGGCTATGAAGGATTCCAATTTGTGGGTCATCAAGGAGGTGAAGAATGTGGAGAAGAAGCTGTACGGTGAGGTGAGGGGCTTTGTAGCCATCTATGTGGACGACTTCTTGACGGTTGGACCGAAAGTCGTGGAGGAGGAGCTCACGAAGAGGTTGAACTCTTTATGGCCTACGTCGGCACCAGAATTTGCGGAGGTGGGTTCGGAGCCCATGAAGTTCTTGGGCATGGAGATTCAACGAGAGGCTGATGGAGGCTACTTGCTTCACCAGAAGAGCTACGCGAGGGAACTCCTGAACAGGCATGAGGTGGTGACGGAGAGCCCCTACGTGAGAGTGCCTGAGGAAAAAGAGGTGGTGCAGCCGACCCTCAAGCTAGTGAAGCAGGCCCAGAAGCTCACCGGAGAGCTGTTGTGGCTGAGCGGTCGGACGCGGCCGGATGTGGCAGCAGCGATTCAACGCATGTCACAGAAGGCCACGCGAGACCCGGCCTGGGTCATTGAGCTGGGAAAGAACGTCTTGGCATATGTTTGCAGGACGTGGGACTATGCCCTGCACTACGGACCGAAGGTGGTTCAGGAGGAGGACCCGGACATGTTCCGAAGAACACCAAGGCGCAATGGCACCGTGGAGGTTTTGGTGGATGCATCGTTTGGGGTGGAGGATGAGCACAGCGTGTCTGGGCTGGTGGTGCTGTATGGGGGAGTGCCGATACAGTGGGAGTCGAAGAAGCAAGGGCTGATAGCTCTGTCGACAGCCGAGGCTGAGCTTGCGGCGTTGATGGAGGGAGTGCAAGCGGGAAGGTCAGTGCGAGCTCTGGTGAGCCTGGTGGAGGATGAGGTTGAGCTTGAGCTCTACAACGACAACAGAGCAGCTCTCATCTTGGCCAGCGGTCAGGGTGGAGGATGGAGGACGAGACATTTGAGGATTAGGGCAAATTGTTTGGCGGAGGCGGTGAAGGAAAAGGAGCTGAGCTTGACGCACCGACCAGGAACCAAGCTGTGGGCAGATGCGTTGACCAAGTGCCTGCCTGCTGGACCGTTGGAGAGGTTTCGGAAGGGCATTGGGCTCTACAGCGAGAAGAAGGAGACGCAGGGAGGAGAGAATGACCTTAGAGAGGCGGTGGTCAAAGGTGTGGCCGCGGTGGCGGTGGGAGGAACCCTTTTGTCGATGAGGAGGTTGGCTGGTGGACCGCCGGAGATGGGCGAGATTGGTGGTGCTCTCCTGGCAGGAGGGCGCATGGTGCTGGTCAACCAGGTGAAGAGCGTGGGGATTCAGAAGGTCCGGAACCTGGTTAGAGAAAAGGTGGAAAGGAAGTTGGAGGGGGGCATGAGGAGACTGGGGGTAAGACCGGGGAGTTTGTGCTCGTCGGCATTCGCGGAATCCAGCCCTACGGCGTCCTTTACCGTGAGCTCTTCGGCAAGGTCAAACCCGAGCCCTACGGCGTCCTCTACCGTGAGCTCTTCGGCAAGGTCAAACCCGAGCCCTACGGCGTCCTCTACCGTGAGCTCTTCGGCAAGGTCAAACCCGAGCCCTACGGCGTTCTCTACCTTGAGCTCTTTGGCATGGTTGAACTCGAGCCCTACGGCGACTTCGTCCTGGAACACCACGAGAGGGTCAGACGCGAACGCTGTGACTTCCCAGGATCAGAAGCCGATGGAGTGGTTGGAGCCGAGCTCTATGGAGTCTGTGAGGCGGAGTAGAACAGGGTTGAGGGGCACTTCCTCGACTACTGGTGGTGGAACGGGTATCCTGGTGGCGGTTGCGACGTTGAAGGTCGAGGGGGCGGAAGCCCAGGGTGATCAGCAGGTGGAAAACGCTTCTTGGGCGTTGACGGTCCTGGTGGTGGTGGTGGCGATCATGTCGGTGATCTGCTACAAGCTGGTGGAGGAGATGGTGAAGGCGATTCTGCAGCAGCGGAGGCGTGGAACCGTGGAGATCCTGGTGGAGAACCGGGAGGTGCAGACGACGTCGGAGGAGACGGAGCAGGAGATCAGAAGGCGCGTGTGGGAAGAGGTCAGGCGGGATCTTCGCCTGGAGCGCCTTCAGCAACCCTTTTCCTCCCTAGGATCTTCTCCCACCTTTCCCTGTTGAGCTCCTTTCCCCCTTTTCCCCCTAAGGCCTTTTCAGATCTTCTCCCTTTTCCTCCCGAAGATCCTTTGCCCCCTTTCCCTGTTGAGATCCTTTCCCCCTTTCCCCCCTGAGGCCTTTTCCCTGCCTGGGATCTTTTCCCTTTCCTCACTGAGATCTTTCCCCCCCTTTCCCTGTTGAGATCCTTTCCCTTTTTTCCTTCCTAAGGCCTTTCCCCCCAAGGCATCGTGAGGAGCAAGAAATGGAGGAGGAGGACTTTCGGATGGAGAGTCGCTCGGCGAGTCAGAGCTCGGAGTCTTCGAGCAGTGGGGTTCGCCTTCGGCAGAGGAGGCATGACACGCCAAGGCCGATGGGGAGCATCGCGGAGACCCCGATGGCCAGGCAGGAAGAACCGCAGCGGGAGCCGGTGGAGCTGTATCACCTCACGCACATGGGGGAACGGTACCACTGGAACCGAGAGTGCTGGGGATTGAGGCAGGCGACGATCAGGGGCATGAGGTCCCTGCTGCCGTGCCCGAACTGCTGGCTGGGAATGAGGATGCAGAGGGATCGCAATGCCACGGCGTGGAAGGGAGAGGATGGCCGGCGACCTGCGTGCCGTTGTTGGCACACTTCAGGAGCATGCCGCTCCGACCTTGCAGGTTCTGTGTCAATGGGGTGGTGGAGGACCCGACGGCGTGAGAGAAAGGCTTGAGCAGTGGTAGGTGTTTTGGATGAGACAGCCGAAAAGGGGCTGAATCTCGATGCCGTGTGAGCACTTGCTCCATGGTCTTTGATCATCGCGCGGAGTTCCCTGACCCGTCAGGGAAGGGGAGCCCATGCGCCGACTTCCGATAGCCTTTTTGGATGAGAAACAGGAGATTTCGCTTTTTAGCTTCTGAGATAACAATGGGAAAAATATGGAGGCTGCACCCAAAAGGACAGCCATACACGGGTGTTCTCAGGACATTGATTCGCTTTCAAAGAGCACCTCGGCAAGCCCATTTGAGGTATCCCTTCTCGCGTTACTTTGAAGTCGAAACTAGGGGAAACCCGCCATTGCGGAATTGACAAATGCCATCTGGAGACAAACGCCCAATGAAAGTTGCACAACAAATGCCGCCGCTTGTGAATCAGGGGACCCCAAGGTTCCAACAGGTTCCCATCGCCAGCGCGATTGGCCAATCATGTTTGCATCTATTTGGCACCCATTTGGGGCATGTCTTTGCTGTGGCGGTCTCCGTGGTTTTCTGTGGGTTTCAAGGGAAAGCAAAAAGGAACACCACCCATTTTTGGCGATTTTTTGCGGGGGGCGGGGGGGTCTTCAAAAAGAGTGAGTCAGAACCCATACTAGCTGTGGGTCAAACCCATGGGATCCCATTTTGGTTGGTAGCTGAATTCACCCCCCATTTTGGGGTACCTATTTTAGTGGTTGGATTGAATCGGATGTTCGCTCGTGCCGACCACACGCGTCCCACACGTTAATAAAAGCACCGCCGCCGAATTGTTTTTCGCCGCGGGGCCGAAGATGGCCAGCTTCTCGAAGGCCTTGTCGCGGCCTGGTGGCGGCGAGGAGAGAAGCCGACAAAATCCAACTCCCGGGCCGCGGCCTTAGTGGGGGGAGGGAGGCAAAACCCCTGTTGAACTACCACATATCTACTCACCTACAAGAGCTTTTGGTGGTTGTTGCATATAACATACCCAACAAACCATGGCACAAACCATGGTTTCCAAGTCGTTGCGAAATGGGAGTTCGCAGCCCTCCGGAGGAAGAAGAACCAGCCCTAGGGGACGACACTTCCCCATTCTGCCCAGGGATCCTTTCCGGAAAACCACCGGAACCCCGGGGAAAGCAGCTGGCTTTTGAAAAGGACGATGGTTGAATGGCGTGCAGCTTGCGCCCGGAACATCGCCCCCTACCAAGCTAAGGGGATTCATGGGGGGAACTCCGTCCACCAAGCACTGCCAAGGGGAACACCCGACGGATCCGTCCGTCACACCTTCAGGTGGCTTCCTAGAGGCAGGAAATGACCCCAGCGGGGAATTGCAGATCACCTAGGATCAAGTCTCAAGCCTGCCCAATTCCGTGGAATTGGCAGGAACAGCCAGGAAATATCCCCCAACAAAAAAACCAGGGATGAGTCCAGGCTTGTGAAATGTGTTCCACTGATATGCACAGGCCTGCCAAGTATCCATCTTCATTGGTTCCCCTCAATCGGGGAATTGGGGGGGGGGGGAATCCCCAGTGCCATGTTGCAAAGGAAACCAGCACACCAACTTGGAGGGTCCTTGCTTCTGACAAACAAGCAAACAAACAAGCAAGGAAGCAAACAAACAAACAAACAAACAAACAAACAAACAAAGCGAAGCAAAACAAAGAAACAAACAAACAGCCACACCCGGGCACCTTCCCATCCCTTGCTCCCTCCCCCCCCCGCCCGCGGGCCTCTGCCCTTGTCCACCTCGCAGAAGAACATGAGAGTTGTCCACTGGTCCTGCAACACGCCCCGACTGGCGACCAAATCCTTCCCGACCCCCGTTTTGGGTCTCAAAGGGAACCCAGAAACTTCCCAACCCTTGGTATGTGATCGCCAAGCCTCCGCCCTCCAAAGGCACACACGCACACACCAATATGTTGGTTGTTGCCATGGAGTCAATTTGGCCTTGTCGCGCAAGCCTGATGTGTTCACATGATATACAAGTGTGCTTTACCAATTGATATCGCACTTCTTCCACCCCCCCCCTTGCCCAAAGCGCCTGGAAATGAATCATCCGAATGCCTCATGTTGCAAAAGCGTTGTTCTTTGCCCCAAACTGGAAATGACAAGAAACAAAGAAGCACTCACTCCAAACCATGACTCCACGTGATCACTTGCTGCTTTTATACACCGTCATAAAACCAACCAGGTTGGAAGATTGCCGGGAAATGTTCACTCAGGTTCACCCAGAGGCCCTCTCTGGCCCAAGACACTCCAGCAGAGGTCGGAAGACTCCGCTCCGGTTGCCCCAAAGATGTGAGTTGCTGCTTTCTGTTGGCTTGTGTCTGTGTGTGTGTGTGTGTGTCAAAATAGGGGCACCGGGTCCCAAATGGTGACTGTCCCCCACCCCAAAAAGGGTATTCTGAACAATCACTCACTATTTATGGGGCCTCTATCCTAACTGGCCTATGGAATGGTTCCCATGGGAATCAGCATGATGGTTACCGGTTGAGGATCCTTACCAGGTGGATGATCAGCCCACGAAAACTTCCAGTTGCTTTTTCGCCTGGATAAATGAGAAAATACGTCCAGTAGTGCCATCGATTCCCTTTCAAACCAACAAGGGAAAACACTCAAAAAAAAGTAGTGGCGGATTCCCTTTACAATAACCAATGGATTTAGTTGTTAGTTTATTAAAAACAAGAACAAAAACAGCATTTCAGCGAATGGCAGGAAAGGAATCAGTTTTAATCTTTTTTATAAAAATAAAAATAAAAGATCAGATTCAACTATAATTTATTAAAACAAACAAGAAACAAAATCAGCAAAATGGCAGGACAGGAGCGCCCGGCCGGTTTTGTTCCGCTCCTCGATGCTGCGCAGGAAGTTTCCAGCACGGCCCGTGACGAAGCCGACCGCCTCCTGCGGCACCTGGCTTCGTGCTTCGTGCGTCGTTTTCCCTGAACCTCTGGCGGGGTGGTCCACCCCCGGACGAAAACATGCGACATCAGGCTGACTAGGGGAACAAATGAGTGCAGTCGGTTGGCTCGCAAAACTTAGAGCAACCACTGTAGGTTTCAGGCATACAACAGGGGAGCACAATAGTAAATTATACCAATCACCTTCCAGAATGAAGGGAAATGGATCATAAACCGTGATACCAAAATGGTTTATTCCCACATCCCTCTGAGTATTGAAAGGGGATTCTCACAAGGCATGACAGAAGGTGGCAACCTAAAAAAACAACTATTTTCCATACTTGCACCGGAAACAGGGGACACTAAGAAACTGGCCTTGCTTTTGATTGGCCGAGTTGAGTCTGGATATGCCCAAGTCCCAACCATTTTTTGAATAAGAACCATCGCAGCTCGAAAGCTTCGGCACTGGGGACTGGGGCCTCAATCAACCTGACGAAATCATGAACACCACGAGATGAAGCCATGCAATCTGGGTATCTGCAATGGCTGGGTATCTGCAACCATAAATCATGAAACCATAAGGTTTCTTGGTATCTGCAATCTACACGGGAGAAACGAGGATCATTGCAGGGTTCGGAAAGTGCGAAATGGATGACTCGCAACCATCCACAGTACCACTGAGAAAAGGAAAAAGTGGGGGATAATATTCATATCTAACTCAAACAAATGATCACATGCCTAGATTTCGGCCCCTTGCGAAGCTTAAAACCTGCAACGTCCGTGGCCTGTAGCAGGGTCAGGTCATCGTCATCATAGTCGTCGGTGACCGACACGGGGCCCGTGCCTACAGCGGAAACGCGCGGGCTAAACCCCCCGAGTCGCGTCTCAGACTGCGCTCCCTCAGGCCGATCCTGTTACTGGAACCAAGTCTTCCGAAGTCCTGGGAGCTTCCATGTTAGTCTGAAGTGTATGAATTCAATTTGGGGGGCCAGGTGTCCAACCACTTGTGAGGGGGTTCCCTGTTAAACTAAGATTCATACCCATATTGTGCCCCTTGCCTAGAGCCAATCACAATCTGCAATGACCGCATCCCTACGGTGGATGCTCTGAATATTGCAAGTAGAGACCCAGGCAGTTCTACCATTTTTTGCAATTTATCAGGATGGTATGGTTGGATGTCTTCCATTGATTAAGCCCCGTGGCAAAAATGAGAAAATATGTCCAGTGGTGATAGAATTCCTTTAACACCAGCAATGGAAGAAGAAGAAAAAAAGCATTGCCACCTTAGGCGAATTACAACTCCCCTCATTCCAGTCATCGAAGTCAAGTCGAGGGAAGACTGGTTCCCCCCTTTGTCCTCTTTGTTAGTTGAATAGGGTGAATATTGAAAGCAAAGCACACAAAGTGTGCCTGTTGGCTTTCCTTTAAAACCAGCAAAATCAACAGGCAGAGAGCCTGGGAGCCACAACACCTAGGCGGAATAGCCCAAGCCTATATACTGTGGGTGGACGAAATCATGAAAACCACGAAATGAAACCATGGTTGAAACCATAACGTTCCCTGGTATTTACAGGGAGTCATCATTCCAGGGTTCCTTCTGTGGTGCAAAATGTTGTCCATCCGCAGTATGTCCTGGGTAGACTGACTTAGTTGAGCCAACTTTGGCAGTCGCCTTCGTGCTAGAAGCTTGAGGCTCATTTCAACAAATACCTATTGACAGTTGATGATCAAAAAAAGATATGATCTTGAACCTGAGCTTGTGGGGGGCGGGGGTGCTGCCCACAAGATTCAAAGTCACCCTCCGATCTCGGGAAAGGACCTCAGTGACTTTGACGACCCTTTGGGTTCCCCTGGCGCGTGAAAGAAACATCTCAACCCATCGAGCCAATTGATGTCTGACCCAAAAAGGACGCTGTCAGATCTTTCTTATCTAAAACCGGAGCAACCGATTTCTTTTATCCGAAAACTAAGCTCAGGACACCTATGCCGACCTCTTGAGACAGAACTAAAGCCCAAAGCCCAGCTATCGGACTCTCTCATAGGGGCAACCAGAGGGTTGCTTCGGCTTTCCTTGGGCTTTTTGTTTAACAGGAAAAACAAAAAAACGCCGCCCCAAAACAGGAAAAAAGGGGTGAGAATCCTGAAACCAAGACGTACATCCGGTTCCCTTGCACCCCAGGCATGGGATTCTGCAGGCGCCGCTGGGCCCCTGGCGCTGTGCCATCACGCCCTCGCAGTACTTCTTCGCGCGCTTGCGCCTCGGCTCCCGCATCGCCGAAGGCTTCGGCCGGCTTTTGCTAGGTCCTCCGGATTTGAGGGGTCAGAAGAAGTTGGTGCCCAACTTTTCCTGTAGTCTTTTTGTAGAGGTTAGAATAAGTTGGTACCAACCTTTTTTTCTGTTTTGTCTATTTTTGTAGGGGACCCTCATCTCCCCCCAAAAAGCAACGGTAAAAGGGCACTACTGGGGGACCTAGTTTTCGATTCTGCTGCCGGCCGCCCCTTTTTTGGGGGGGACAGGGACACCAACAAAAAAAGCGAAAGCCAATTTGGGGTCCTGGTCAAAAAGGAAGCTTGACGTTGATTGTCTGTAGCGTCTATGAAGAGGTTGACGCCCATCACTGATACCAAGTAAAGGGGCTCTTTCACCATGGCACATGTGGGGTCCGCGTTGTTGAAACGGGTCTTTTGATTCACCACGTGGGGAATGTGTATTCCGTATCTTCTCACATGTGGGCGGCTGAAACCCAATGAAATCTGTTCAAACCCAAGGAAGACGCCTTTTAGGAGGCTTGAGGCAAAAACCCACGCATGAGGCTTGAGACCCCGTCCCACAAACCCTTAGGGTTGGAGGCGGTCCTCTAACTTTCGAGGCTGGGGGTCTTGGAAAGGACCTTTCCCTCCCCCTCCCACCCCCTCTCCTCCCCTCCCCCCTCCCCTCCCCTGTTGCGCGTGGAAAAGGACCGGAGGTCGCCCCAAAGAGCGGCTCGGGGAAAGCGACGAGTCGAGCTCTTCCCGCGGAAGTTCCGCGGTGGCGGTTGCAAAAGTTCGCTTCGGCCGAAGCTCTGCATCTTGGAGCCCCGGATCTCCAGGATCAGGTCGCGCTCGAAGAGCTCGATCTCCGCCTCACTGCCAGCGCTGCATGCAATGTGGACGATTTTTTTGCTGCTGCCGGTCCCTGGAGTCTCCTTCTGACCCAGTAAAAAATGGGGTCATTGCCCAAAATTGAAGGGCTATGACCCCTTTTTCTAGGGGTCATGGAGACTCTAGGTATTTACAGGGGAAAAAAAACATCATTCCAAGGGGGCGGAGCGGCGCTTTTTCGCGAGGCATCGAGTTCATGCTGGGAAAACAGAAAGCACCGGTAGAAAGACGCTAAACAGGGATTGCAAAAGGAAGGGGTGGGGGGGGGAGGCATAATTTTCAGATGCCACCCAAGAGAACAAGTGGGAAACTCGGCAACTAAGCTGCTCACTTGGAAGCCGTGAGGAAGCAAACCCCAATTGGTTTGGCCTGATTTGGACCTTCCGCAATTGTTTCTAGCAAACCAAGGGTTCAACTCTCCAACCACCAATACAAACCATCAATTACTTCTTGGGAGCCCAACAAGACAGCCTTTCTGCTGGAAGTTGAGGCTGTTCTTGGCAGAAAAAAATGAAAGTCGAGCAGGCCAAGTGCACGTTGTGTAAACATGCAGGGTATTCGTACAGGGATGATGCAACAGTACCTCCCGACTATCCTCAGGATGCAAGAATGCAGGGTGGCCGTGCTGTGGGAAGGGTTTCGAACAGCGACACAGCACCAACCCCCATCTGTCCAATAGATCCTGCCCGTCGTTGCCTCAGCAACCTTTGCAATCTTCTCCTGCACAGGTCGGGTCATCTGTCCGTGATACCCTAGATGACCTTCGGCGTGCAATCACCTTCGGGTTGCATCAGCCCGCCTGAGAGAGGCACAGACAAGAGCCAAATCAAGGTGAGCCAGCCACCCTGATCGTCTCAAACATGGTTCTTGCCTTGGGCATGTGTGAAAGTATCCAAGACCCCCAAGAATGAGTGCAGCCAGGTCTTCCGCGGCCTTTGCATGTGAGACTCAGGCCTTGGTCTTGCCCCCTTTGCCCAGGATAAAGGCGGCGTCGTCGTCGGTGATCTTCAAGGTGTCCACGCCGTAGTCATCCTCAGGCAACAGCTACACTCCATTGAAACAAGCCGGACCCAGGGACCCAGGGTCCCAGCGATCCGGATGCAGGACAAACACCGATCGAACATTGCAACTTGTAAATGGTGGTGTCAAACCTTTTTTCTTTTTTTTCGGTGTTGAAAAAGCCAGCCATGTTTCAAATGCTTGTAAAATGGAGATCTTTTAAGGAGCCCTGCCAGACTACCATATGTGCATCCACAACTTCCCGAACCATCTACCATCGAAGGCACCTCAAATCCCCACTAAACCCCGAAGTTGAGGGGCTGGGCTCGTTTTCCTGTCTTAGGAGTGCGAGGTGGGCCACTCACATGGTGGGGAGACGGAGAAGGTGTCAGCAGTAGCCCGAAGCCGGGCTGGGACATCGATGGCGCTAAATAGACGAAACAAGCCCCCGGGCAAAACAAGCAGTTGCGAGAAAAAAAAGAAAAACAACTTAAATGTGGTATCCAGAAATACAAAAAACAAAACATGAAGCATCCCACCCCTGCCATTTCATTAAAGATAACAGGGATGCGGGTTCTAACAGACCTCACGAAATAAAGTTTGAGGAATCCCCGCTGGACAATCCGAACGACCATAGGTGACCCCTGGCAAGTGGAATAAAACCAATCTAAACAAGTGGAACCCATCTATTTCTAACCCAAGTAGCCTGAAGAGCACAGCTATGACAACAACTCCAACAACTCTTCCTCAGCCAAGTCTGGTGCTTCTTGACCAAGCTTCGGGTCGCTTCTGCCGTCCCCCGCCGCCGCCGCCGCTGCGGCTGCGGCTGCGGCTGCGCTCACGGTTCTGGCAGCGAAAAAGAAAAATAAGAGACGGAACCGCACCGGGTGTCGAAATTAGAGGCCATCCACCCTTGGCTGGAATGGGGGCCCCGGCAAAAAACGATACATGTGTTTGCCTGGTTAGTGAAGAAAAACAAAGGGGGCCAAAAAAACACTATATATATAAAGGAGAGCTAATTCTGGGGAAGCCACAAGATTGGATTCCCTCTGATGCACCAAGAGCTATTTCACAGGTGACAGTCTCTGGCAAGCAATAGCTGGGTTTCCCTGGTAGGTGGATCCCAATCTAAACCAGTGGAACCCATCGATTTCCGACCAAAAGATCAAAAGATCAAAAGGACGCCTTGGATTCCTTCTGGTGCACTGGTCGTGGAGACGGACAGCAGTCCTCCAGCTATTTTGACCCTTGCCCCTCGCCTAACACAGGGTAGGAAATTCAATTAGACCCTTTGGGGGATATCCCCTTTGAGGGATATGTGTCCCCCTAGATGTCGTTGCCTTTTTGAGGCTCGTACCTCTTTTGATGTTGGTGTACAGGGCAATCAAAAAGAAACCAAAAGAAAACAGATCATCCAAGGATTCCCTTGAACTTCATATCCCAAGGCTCTGCAGCATTCACATCCCAAAACCTGATTCAACCTTGCCCCCCCCCCCCCCCACCCCGTCCCCGCCTTTGGGCTGCGGCCCCTGCTGTCGCTGCGCGGCATCTCAAAACTAGCGAAGAGCAAAAATTCCGCTGGACCGCGGAAGACTCCGAAGCCCCCGGGAGAATGTCGGATGACTCGCCTTAGCTTCCTTCACCTTGGGCTTAGTGGGGCACCCGGGGCTCGCGAGCTGCTCAACGCCCCTCCTGGGAACCAAAGGAACTGCCGGCGCGAAGTGAGCGAGTGAGCGCGCGGGACACTCCGGCCAGCCGGGAGCAAACACGCTGGCGGGATTTATATTGTACATAGGGGGGCCCTGTCGACATCAGTTTCGGATTTATGTCCACCAACCACTTTCTTCGGTTACCCGTGGGTGGACATCAGTTAGGGTGGGAGTTGTGTCCAGCCACTTTCAAGAAGTTCCCCTACTCAAATTTCAATAGCCATCCAAGCAAGAAATCAGTTCGGTTGGATTTCATGTCCACCACTTTCAAAGGCTTCCCCTACTAAAACTCCACAGCCATCCAAGCCCTTGCCAATGGGATTTCACTGCGATAGGGGATGTCACTCGCAAGAAACCGCTGATGCGCAATCCGTGTCCCTCGCCAGTCCACGGCTCCGCAAACGCGCGGAGCCATCGGGTCGTCCGCTCGCCCCTCAAAAACATCCATGTTGACCCTATCGAAAAATCAACCAACCGGTTTCTCAATAGGGCGTGGTCTTGACCCCTCCAAAAGCGGGCTGATTCCAACCACTCAACCCAGAAATGGACACCCACCTATTCATACACTGGAGCTGATGAATATGCAGTCAACATTACAGGTTTGCTCACCTCATATTTACCCCACGACTAGAACCAGAAGAATCGGTGGGCAACAAGGGAAGCCTTCAAACAGATCCAGCACCCTGACCTATCTCGAAAATCTGTGTGTCCATTGGGAGAAAACCATGGAAAGCCGCCACTCGCTCTTCGCTTTGCCCCCAAACCCCGGCCACTTTTGCATGGCCCTCGGACTACCTCAGATTTCGGAGAAAAAACACACACACACACACACACACACACACACACACACACACACACACACATTTGGTCAGAATTCGAACCTCAAAATGTGAAGCAATGTCAAAAGAGATCCAAGTATAGATAGAAGCACCTCCCTGGCCTGCCAAAAAAACACGCCTCTCCCCCCAAAAACCGCAAGGTCGTCTCGGCGAGCGCGCCCTTTTCCGACCGAACGGATGGACTTGAGGGCTGCCGCCTGATCCAGCACCACCTCGAAGCTGGACAGCATCTCCTCAGATGTCTAGGGGTTGATTCCCCATTCTTTTCAACCATCGTTCTTTTCAAAAACCAGCTGTTTCCCTTTGGATTCAGCTGGTTTTCTTAAAAGAAGGATCCCTGGAAGGAATGGGGAAGTGTCCCCTAGAAGATGGAAAACCTGTCTGGGACCTCAAAAGATGCCATGGCTGCATGCTGATCGCCACGGGCGGTGCCCTCCATCTTGAGATGTTCAACACAAGGCCATAGTTCTTGCTTCATTTAAGATGGTCCTGAACTAGTGGGTCCACGCAAATGGTGCAAGCATCAGTGGTGTCCTGGGACAAACCTATCAAGAAGCAAGAAACGGCGCCCGAGCCCAGGGTTCCCTTCCTACATTCACAACTGGAAACAAGCAGCCAACACATTCGGAACAGCAAAAGCACCAAACGGAAGCTCCCAAAATCACCAAAAAAACAAAAAACGCCCCAAACCACCCAACTCGCGGCGGTTTTTCTCACCGCCAACACCCAAAACCACTGCCTCCACCCCCCCCCCTCCACCCACCCCCCCCACCCCCCTCCGGCCGCGCGGCCACGTAGGCCACCGGCTGCCGCAGCTCGAGGCCCAGCGCGGCCTCCGCATCCGCCGCGCGCAGCAGCGCCAGGAAGTCCTCACGACCAAAACGACCCACGCCACGAACGCACGCTTGGAGCTCCCAGGCACGGGCCCCGAAGTTCCAGCGGCCGAATTGTGGACCCGCAGAAATATAACTTTGGGTTGTTTTTTGGTTTTACCATGTTTACCCATTTGACCCGCAGAAATGATGGTTGAAACCACCTTGCTTGGTAGTTACGTTGAAGCGAATCATTTCAGGGTTTCTTAGGTGAGTCAACATAAGAACCAAGGAACCGACCGCAAATGTTTGCCCGTGGTTTGCCATTTACCGGGGCAAGCCATTTTGAGGCTACCCAATTTTGACCCGCAGCCATATAACCACCATTCTTTACCTAAGGATTGTCATCATCCAAATTGGGTCCTTGCCATTCTTTTAATCAGGTTGAAGCTAGGGGGCCCTTTGGGCTGTAACACCCCCCTCCGGTTTCACAGCTTGGGGCAATGAAAACTGAGAAGTCCATTAGGAAAGGTGGAAAATTGGGGTTACAGTTTTTCCTTGAGAAATCAACTAGGAAGGGTTGTACCCGTTCTTCCCTTGAGAAATTAGGAAACCCAGCAGGGCCTTAAAGGCCCTAGTTTGTTTGCCATAAAGATTGGTGCCATTTCCATAATTAGACGATGGGCACCCAGGAATCGATCCCTTCTTTGGTTGAGAAACCATGGTCAACAGACCAACAATAAATGGCACCCAATCAATAAGCTAGAGGGTTCATACTTCACCAAGACGTGGTTGCTTTATTTGCCCCGAGTTCTTGCGATGTCAAGACTCATTTCTGTTCTGCTGTCTTAAGCCGTTTCACATCACCGGGCGAATCCGATCGACATTCCCCCTGTCTAATCCCCCTCCCCGCGCAATGTTGAAGTTGATGGCTCGAGGGGAACCTTGGTGTTAAGTTAATAATGGGGTCACAACAGGTGGGTTGGATTTTCTCGGTCTAAGTTTGGTATTGGTAATTGCCCCATGACTAGACCATAATGAATGGTTACTCAACCAGTAAACTAAGGCTCCACACTACAAGTTCAGTTGGGTGTTGCCAAAGTATAATAACGCTAATTACGTTAGCCAGAAAGCGACGATTCATTCAACCCGGGACCCTGCCTAATTAATGTTGCCAACCTGCGACCACACAAAAAGCCGTCTATCATAAATCGTTCGCAACCATGAACAATCTGGCATGATGCTAGGAACAGGCTATTTTCTATTGATGAAAAGCCTCGCGACCGGTCCCTATCCGCTAGATGTCTCGCTAATCAGCTGCGAGATGTCTGCTGCGAGACTCCCAACCCGATTTCTTTTACGCTACGAATGGGTTCCTGGGGTCCTTGTTCTCTCCCATTCATAAGGTGCCATATATCCCTGGCAAGTGGATGCGAGCCAGTGCTTGGAAAGGCGTTCAAATGGCCAGGACTTGACTTGTGATTCAATTCCGGCCACCCGCGCAGAGCCAATGAGCCAAGGCAACCAACCCAGAACCAATAGCAACCCCAAACCAAATCATCAAACAACCGACTAAACCTAGAATCTAGAACCAAAAAAAACATAGAACCAATCAAATAAGCCAACCTGGAACCAAAAAAAGCGCCTGGAACCAAAACCAATCCACCGAAACCAAAGGCAACTCTCTCCGGTTTCGCCTCGGGCGCCACCTGGCCGCTGCCTTCATCCAGACTGCGGCAGCCCCGTAGCAGGGCCTGGCTGAATCCGACGGACTGCGCGGGTTGCGAAACCGCAATGGGTTGCAACCCAAAGGGCCCAGGCTCAACCCAACCGTTAAAAGAATGGCAAGGACCCAATTTGGGTGATGACGATCCTTAATGGTGGTCATATGGCTGTACCGAGATGGTGGACCCCATATGGCAGTGGTTATCATGTGCCTGGAGAAGACTTCGATTTCCTGGGTTTTACAGTTGGAGACAATCACTTGGCTGTGGTTGTCAAAAATAGGGTAACCCCGAAATGGCTCAAGCCCTTGGAAATGGAAACATGGACGATTTAACCTGCGTTTGTTTTTTTCTGGTGGCTTAATTTTGACTCATACCCATATGTATCAACCCCAGTTCATGAACAGGGGGGGTGCTTTTCCCTGGGTTTAGGGAGAAGCAAATGCAAAGGGTCTATATAAGCTGATCGCTTTCCATCTTCCTTTTTTTGCGCTGTCCACATGAAGAGATGGTACCACGCAGAATCATCTCTTTGGGAGGGGAACACCCCCCTACTACACCTGGCCTCGCGGTGCTCCAGGATGGCGCAGGCCGTGCGCTGCGATACCGGCGTCGCGCTCGAGTCCTCCGCCTGACGGTTGGCCAACAGATCGGGACCGGGACCTGGGGAAGACGAAGCAAGGTCTCAAAACGGTCCTCGAAACGTGCAAAAGTCAAACAGTTCTTAAGACCTGCTCTAAATAAGATCATATTTTGAATTGTATTTTACTGATAATAATCATCATCAGCATAATCATAATAACAAATATAGACAATCATAACAAGAAGAAACCTGCAAGCTGAGCAATGGACAGGCCTCCAGCTCTGGCCCGTCTCGCAAGCCCCTCGCCAGCTCCAGGAAGGACAAGGTGCCTGCATCTGAAGGCAAGGCAAATTCTGGGTGTGGCTCAAAACCAAAAAGCTCCTGTTTGGGGGAGGGGGTGGGGGGGGATCAAAGAGCTAGGGCAAGCCGCAGCTTAAGTCTTGGGCTCCATTTACCAAAGAGCCATTTTGGTACATGTGTTTGAGCCACAGCAACTTTTGCTCGCTGTCGCCAAGTCGCACTTTGTCGAAATGCCTTGGGCCCTTGAAGATGAACCCTCTTCTTTTTTCTAGCTGGAAGCTACGGGAAATCGGTCTCCCAAAACCTATGGCTCGGAGCAAGTGAGCTTCTTTTTTTATTTGTCTTCCCTTGACGGTTGGATCATATTCGCGAGCACCAAGTTGCTGGGTGTGTTGTCAACCTTCAAGGGGGTCATCCCAACTAGTACAGGACTTTGTCCATCCACGGTATGGTAGAGGATAGTTGAGCAAGCTGGGCTTTCAGAATGCAAACAAATGGAGCCAGGCGAGGACTGACTTCCAATGACGCCTCCCCACGTTGCCCCCAAAACCCTTGCATTAAAATTGAACAGTTGATCAAGGAGACATTCGCTAAAATGTAACGGAACATGGATACAAGCCTCACTCATATGTGCAAACTGCGGAAGATCTAAAACACATGAAACGCACTAGAGGAATGGTCCCTTGAGGAAAATGATGGTCCAACCAGGACCCCCCCCCCGCGGCATGCTCCATGTTAGTGGGTGGGAGGGTCAACCGGAGAAAGGATGGGGTGGGTCCCCAAGCAACCATGTTGTCTTCCAAACGGGTCTCAAATAGGGTCCCCCAAAAAAGAAACGTGTTTTTTTGTGTCCCTTTAACACAACCCAAAAGAGGGTTCCATAAACAACAGCCAAACGGAAAATGGAAGTAAATGAGAAGGTTCCCCCCGCAGTTCTCTCTTGACGCGGGCTCGCATTCAGAGCACAAGGCTCGAAAATTGGCTGCCGAATTAAAACAAGAGCAACAAAGAAACGATGTTTGACAGCTGTTTATCAGAGTTTGTGCTTTGACACCTTCTGCCTTTTGCCACCTTGGCTTTGATAGACATACCTTCACGCTGGCCAAACGATCGGATGCTGCTTGGGCTTTCTGTGCCCACTGCCGTATGTCTTCTTCAACTTGCAAATGTTGGGGCTGCTCTTTCGCAATGCGCCACCACTTCAGTGTTTCAACCACAGCCGAAAGGTGGGGTCACTGGATTTCCCTTCAAAAGTTGTGGTTTCGATTGAAGCTGCCACTTTTGGTGGTTGCAGAAAACTTGCTGGTGCTCAGTAGGGAATGTGGGAATGAAATCAGGGCTCACCTTTTAAGGAAACCCTGCCGAGACTTCCCCCCCTTTGCGCCTGAGTTGTTGGCATCCAGCTGCTCAGCCAGATCTCTGAGCTGGTTCTGGTTCAGCCCCGGGCGCCTTGATTCAACATGGGCCAATTAGGGAACAAACAAACAACGCGCGGTCGCCTCACAAACGCGCGCGAAAACGCCCACGCTTACCCTGCGTTTACAGGGGGATTTCACAAACGGCTTGAAAAATCACTGGCAGTTCACACAGATGGAGCCCATCGCACTTTGTATCCTTGCAAACAGGAAAAGTCTTTGGGGCCAAAGCCCAGAACGTTCTTGCGCTCTTTGCTGTGCCGAGCAAAGCACTGCAAAAGTGAGACCAGGCCGGGCTTTTCCAGCAACCTCTTGGAGGCATACTGGATTGCTCTTGAGCGGGTGCGCTTACCATGTGGCTGGGCGTGGCTGCAGTGCTGGGCAGCTGCTCTTGAGCGGGTGTGCTTACCATGAGGCTGGCATGGATACAGTGCTGAGCGGGCGCTCTTGAGCAGGTGTGCTTACCATGTGGCTGGCACGGATACAGTGCTGAGCGGGTGCTCTTGAGCGAGTGTGCTTACCATGTGGCTGGCATGGATACAGTGCTGAGCAGGTGCTCTTGAGCGGGTGCTTACCATGTGGCTGGCATGGATACAGTGCTGTGCGGGTGCTCTTGAGTTGGGCGGGTGTGCTTGCCATGTGGCTGGCATGGATACAGTGCTGGGCGGGTGCTCTTACCATGTGGCTGGCATGGATACAGTGCTGAGCGGGTGCTCTTGAGCGGGTGTGCTTACCATGTGGCTGGCATGGACACAGTGCTGGGCAGGTGCTCTTGAGCGGGTGTGCTTACCATGTGGCTGGCATGGATAGAGTGTGTGCTTACCATGTGGCTGGCATGGATACAGTGCTGGGCGGGTGCTCTTGAGCGGGTGTGCTTACCATGTGGTTGGCAGTGCTGAGCGTGGGTTCTGCTTGAGCGGGTGTGCTTATCATTGGCCAGCATGTGTGCTGCTTGGGCATGGGTTCTCCTTGAGCGGGTGTGCTTACCATTTGCCACCATGTGTGCTGCTTGGGCATTGGTTCCGCTTGAGCGGGCGTGCTTGTTGTTGGCCACCATGTATGCTGCTTGGGCATGGTTTCTGTGCTTATCATTAACCACCATGTGTGCTCCTTGGGCGTAAGTTCTGCTTGACCGGGCGTGCTTATCATTGGCCAGCATGTGTGTGTGTGTGTGTGTTGCTTGGGCATGGGTTCTGCTTGAGCGGGTGTGCTTATCATTCGCCAGCATGTGTGCTGCTGGAGCGAAGCGGCAGGCGACATGCTGAAACGATGTGAACAAATACATTGGACGCTTGCCGGGAAGACACACTCGATCCCTGTGAATTACCATAGTTTTAGGGCTTCTTGCGTCCGTGCCAGTGGGGAAAGCGCGCTGTGGGGCGCGCGTTGACGCGACGACGGAGCCACAAACAAACATGGCCGAGGGTCCTCATTCAATTCCCCCCCCGCCCTCCCCCAAACCCTCCCAATCCTCGCCTCCAACCTTCCCAATCCTCGCCTCCAACCCCCCTCCAACCCGCCCAATCACCCCCCCCCCTTCATGGAATCCGAGCCTGGCGACGATGCCGCGCATCTGCTCCAAAAAACCGCCCGGCGACCTCGGGGGGGGTCCGGTCCTTGCGAAACATTGGCGGCGCGTGCCCTTTGTTGGGGCTTGGGAAAGAAGCCAACCAGCAAAAAAGGGCCTGGGACTCCCAGTACCCTCTTGGTGGAAACTGCCCCCAAATGATATCTTGAGAACCCAAAAAAACTATCTCTCTCTCTCCCTCTCTGTCTCCCGGCTTGACAGCTTTGTTCCAAGCAAGCAGGGGGACTGAGTAGTTGGCCGGGCGGCATCCCCGTTTGGCTCCCCGGAAAACTAATTACCCCCAACCTGCTCTACCAAAAAAAATACCTCCAAAGACAAAACGAGCGGCCCCGGGGTTGGGCAACCACTGGCCACCTTCTTCTTCACCTGTGCTACGGCTCAAAATGCATCCAAGCGGCCGCTGGTCTTTGTGTTCCATTTCTCAGGGCAATTTTGGGGTTAACCATTTTCGACCCACAACCATGCACCGGGCCCAAAGGGCCACCAGCCCAAATCCAACCCATCCTCACCGGGCGGCTCTTGCACCTGCCGCAATCCCTGGACCGCCTCCTCGATCGAAAGGACCCCATCGCAGTCCTGGCGCAGTCGGCAGGCTGGGACCAATGTTCGCGAGCGGGAGACATGGAATGACGCCCAACTCAAAACCATCCATCCCCGATTTGGTTTCCTTTAAGGAAGCTTCAGGTTCATTCCCTCATTCCCTGCTGAGCACCAGCAAGAATCTGCGGTTTCAAACAAGTGGGTCTCTGTGTTTTCTACCAGTTGGCTTGGTTTTGAAGGAAGGCCCTATTTGGAATTTTGAGACAAACCCAAGTGAAAACATGTGTTTGAACAAACCTGCGGTGTCCCTCCCTCTCTGGGCTTGCCATTCAGCCTCACCAGATCCACCCGTATCGATTCTTGCTACCGGGACCCAACAAATCGGCGGCTTCCCTTCGGTTTCCTTCTAAACTAACCGCGGAAACAGTAACGTCAAAGAAATAACACAAGTAAGGGATCCCCCGTAGACCCCTTACAAAAGCAAATCCCCTGCTCTAAAACCAAAAACATCGCCAGAAGGGATCCCCACCAAACCCGAAAACCCGCAAACCCCCCTCACCCTCGTCCCCTCGTCCCCTCGTCCCCTCATCAAAGGCCTCATCAAAGGCCTGGAAGAACCTCAGCAGCGCCGTGTAGGGCGAGCCATCCGAAGGCGCGGCCCATCGCAGCAGGCCTCGGCGCGCTTGCGATCGGTGCGAGACGTAGGGAAGGAGTTGCATGGAATGAACCCGCTTTGGGATTCCCGAATATAGGAAACCAAAAGGGGACATGGATGGCTTTTCGTTCGGGGTCATTCCAATTCTCCTTCCCTGCTCGCACCGGCAAGAAAGGAAACCACCTACATGGCCTCTCAATGTTTGGGGCTCGGTACCCTGAACGTTGGTTTCAAGAGCTGACAGGAAGACCGCCATTCTTTCGGGGGTCTTTCGGGAGTTGACTATAAATGAACCCTGTGGAAGGGCTCTTTTCGCCACAAATCATTCGATGCGACTGAACCTCAAGCGAGTCATAACGACCACCTGGCCGCCGAACCCAAGTACGGCTGGGACCGTCTGCTCGCCTCATCTATCCAGGCGCATTGCTTGTGGCTCATTCGGTGGTTTGGAATGGTGGTTTCAAGATGGACCCCCAAATTTGCGTGTCTCTTGGGGTGAATCAAGAACCAGGGGTGCAAATCCTCAAACCGGCAATCCGAGCTACCACGTAGGAGGTCCCTTGACGAGGCAAATCGTCTAAATCAGGATCCCCAGTCAGGATCCCTTGCAACCTGTGGGATGGAAGAGACTGGTGGAATTCTTTGCGTCTGCGCGTTCGTGATTTCAATGGGGAGGGGGTAGCGCAGAGCCAGAATCGCGATGGAAAGATTGAGGCAGTGGTCGGATTCTGCCGCAACCGCACCGTCCATCAGCGACCTTCAGGGCTCCCTTTGGCCCGGATTCATTGGGTAGAGAGCGCCTGCTATTCGGCTTGTGTCCCACCTACTAACCCTCTTCTCCACCGGCGACAAGGACTGAGGGTGATAAACAAGCCTTGGGCTTCAACTGAAGAAACTCGACGCTGGATTTGTGCTTCAGACATCGCGCCGCTTCGCATTGTGTGGCTCTTGTGTTCTCCTTCAGTGGCCCTCTGCATGTGCCACTGGTCTGGCAGCAAGCCTCTTTGTGCTCCTGTAGGAAAGGATAGCCCTATGCGTCCATGTTTGTTGAAAAGAATATCCTTTCGTGTCCCCTTTGGGTTCCACGCTCGCGTTGCGGGATTCATGGACGCCCCCTGGAGCTGACCCACGTGGATCTTTGCACCTAAACATCCTAAACCCAAAATTGAGTGATTTCCCCCAACAGGGAAACCCTGGATGGGCGGTTCAAGTCAACCTTGGGGTCCGAACATGTGCCCGCGTCCGCCCGTCTCCACTCGCGCCAAAGGTCCCTCCCGCAGCGGGCGGCACTCCGCGGCGGCGCCCTCCAACCTCCGCGGCGCGAAGCGCAGCAGGCGGTCGATGATGGCGGCGAAGCTCAGTTCCTGCCATCGATCGCTGCCATCGATCCGCGGGATTGACCCCCGGTTTGCTTGGAGCGAAAACCCAAAGGAAGCCAAATGGGGCTTCTCGTCGTTTTTTGGGGTACCCCTCAAAAAGGCGGGTTTTAAGGTTGGGAACTAGCGGATGCGGCCACCGTCACCCAGGAAAAGCCATGGTTCAGGGCTGTGGTTGAATTGGAATCCACTTCCGTGACACAACAAAAAGACCTTCCCAAGACGAACCCCCTTTTTCTAGAGGGGGAGATTCCCACAAGTATCACAGAAGTGGAGATAAACCCCTTGTCCGCGTACGTCAGCTGTGTGTGGGTAAGCCTTACCCAGAAAAGACCATGGTTGCTGACATAGGTGCTCCCGTTTGTGATGATCGCATTGGTTGCCTGCCATCGAAACGCCCTGGTTGGTCTCCTTGAAAGGTGGGTCAGAACCAGGCTTGCTAACCACTTACCTGTAAGTGCCAGGCCGACGCTTTCTCGACTGCAGCAGTAACTATAGTGAACCACAGGGACCCATGGGGAATTTCGGGGAACCTTGGCACCAAATAGGGAACCATGTTTATCACAGAAATGCTGTTGGTAGGGCGCAACACCAAGGGTGACATAGTCATAGTGATGGCCAACCATACTGTGGATGACAAAATCCTGCAGTCCGGATGGATGCTGCAAATAAAATGGGATAAGTCACCGATCATCTGGTACACGATGTTGCTGTTTGTTTTGCACAGTATGGGGAACCCCCGAAATAGGTGGTTTCCTTTGCTGTCCCTTTAAAAACCAACCAACCGACCGACCAACCAACCAACCCAACCCAACCAACCAACCAGGGGTCCTAAACATAGACAAGCCCATGCGGTTCCCTTCCTGTTGGGAAACCGGAAGTTCACCAAACTCTCGGGACTTGGCGCTCAGAAGCCTGGGGCAACCCTACCCCGGACGCTTCGGGTCTTCCATAGGAAAGCAGTCCGAAACCCTTCAAGAAATTGAGCTTCCATGATTGTTTGCCGGGTATCTGAGGGGCATTCTTTGGGGTATAATTCCTGCATAGCTCCAGCTATGGTTATAGATAATATATATATATATATATACACATGTGTATCACATATCATATAAAGCGGAACAATTAGGGGTACACCCAAAACGGTTGATGACATCAGTCCTTCCTCGTGCTTTGCAGAAAAGGTATAAAGTGGGTCCTTGCCTACTGGAAAACTCAGGCCGGTAGAGAACACCGGACTTCCACGCCGAAAGCCGAAAGCCATGCTTGGGGGATTGGTGGGATGGATCCGTCCCATTGGAGCCAGCGGATGACACACACGAGTTTCTCGGTTGCGAACTCTGCTAAAAGTTTAACTTTTAGTGACCTCCATGCTGCCCGGTTAGCTCGCCGGCCTGTTGTTTAATGGAAAACCCAATAGTTGGCAAAAAGCTTGACGTCCTAACATCCCTTGGCAAAATGCACCAAATAATTGGAAGTGGGAACAATGTTCACTGCCCAAATAGGGCAATGTCAAGCATTCCCACTACAGAATGGCCCAAGGGCTTCCTTTCAGGCTCCACGTCCCTTTCTCTCCTCCGCCCTGCCTGCCCCTCGGGCGCAATCAAGGAGCCTAGGTGCTGGGCTCGCTCCTGAGCAAGCGAATTGAACCCGTGCGCTTCGAGCTGTACCCGTGCGGTCCTTTTAGGTGGCAGTCCTTTTATTCTTTGACTCGGGATCCATAACCTTTGTGCTCCCTTTCAATGGCTTCCCGAGCAACACACACAAATGGCTGCGCACCACTTTGAAGCCATGGTTGAAACCATTCTTGGTGGGTATTTGCAGGGGATCATCAGCAACCAGGGTTTCTTGGATGAGGCGAAGTGGATTTCGTCCATCCACGGTACGAGATACGCAAACAAAAACATGCTTGCTTGCTCCAGGACGGTTGCAAAGGCTTCGTACCTTTGCCGGAAAAGTTGAATGGACCTCATTTTGTTGGCTGCCTCAAATTAAATGGGATTGGAAACCCCAGAAAATGATTGGCTTCCCTTTAGCTTCCTTTTCGGGACAAAACCCGACAAAACCAACAAGTTCACCCTCCAAAAAGCTATGCCTATGAGCCGTCAGAACCGAGCCTCCCATGTGAGGGAGCTTCAAAAAACGAACGGCTCCCGAATTCAGAACCTGCCCTCCAAACGTCTTTAGCATAAACATAGGTGGTCTTTTGCAAAAATTAGATGGCCCTGGTAAATGGAATAAACCCCATCTAAACCAGGAATCGCCCTCTATTTTTTAAAGCAAGCCAACCACAAAGGACACCTATGAGCACAACAAAGCCACAGGATAAAACAAGAACCCCCACCCCACCCCCCACCCCCCACCCCCCACCCCCCACCCCCCACCCAAAAAGAAAAAACTCGCCGGCGCCCTCTCCTCTGACAGCCCCGGCTGCAGCAGCTGCATCGCCTGCTGCAACTCCTGGCGCCGCGAGAAAACAAATTCTCGGCGCCTCCGGGCGGCCGAGTTCGAGGAAACCCCCGCAACACCATTATTTTCCAAGGGGGTTGGGGGTGGGGGGTGGGGGGTGGGGTGGGGGTTCTGGTTTTTTTCCCTGTGGCTTTGTTGTGCGCACTTCCCGCGTGGACCGCCAAAAAAAACATCGTCCCCAAGCTGTTTATCGAGCGGACGGCCGGGAAAGAAAACAAGTCCCCAAACTTGATGTTGTTTTTTTACCACCAAAATGGTTGGTTTACCGCTAAGACTTGCGATCGGCGCGATAAGTATAGGGAAGGTGGGAATGAACTCAGGCTTTGGCCCCGGAGGTTTTTTTTTGGGGTCATTCCAACTCTCATTCCCTGCATCGCTCGCAGCAAGAACCTGGTCCAAACCCAAGTGACGAAAGTCCGAAACTTTCGAACTCGTCGGAACTGAGGCTCCGAGGCTCCGAAGCCATTTGGCTTCCGGCAGAGACCAAAGCTAAACTTTGTGGGAGCAAAAGGAAGGGGGGAAACCCGGTGGAGTCAGGGCAGCTGCGGTCAGGGTAGCACATTAGACTTCTGACCTGCAAACTTGCCTCAAAGCTCGGGTCTACTTGGCAATGCACCCGAGGTTCCAACTAGATGTTCAAGCCATAAAACATTGGCTGCTCCACCAAAAGAAAACCATGACATGTTTTTTTAGCTAACCCTTTGGACAATTGTAAGAGCCTCTGATCTGCAGTAACAACAGTCCTCTGGCGCTGGTCAGTGCACTTTGGAAAATACCTTTGCAATTGACAAAGCGCGAAAAAGGTCGTCGCATCTTTCCGCCACGTGGATTTCAGCCTGCAGGGCCGCAGGTGCGCCTTTTTTGCCATGGCGGGTTTGAGGGTCGCAGACGCGACTCTGAAGGGTCGTGGGTGAGGTCTGTCAGGGTCTCGCGAGTTGGGCCGTGGGGACTTCTCTGGTGGGTTCCTTGGGAGGGGGAAGAATCGTGGGGCAAAGCAGGCTCCAACATGCCATCGGTTCTCCGGGAATGAGAATTGGACCGACCCTACAAAAAACCAAACCAACCTCCCCGCACCCCCCCCACCCCCCACCCCGGCCCACCCACCACCCCACCAACCCCCCCCACCATGGACCCCTCCACCCGGAGCCCTTGTCATTTGCTTCCTATCGCACCAAGCTACACCCGTCCTGCGGGGACACCAGGCCATCTTGGCTGAAGTCAAAGATGGCCTGCAGGCCTCCGAGCGAAACGGGAAAACACATCCGCCACCTGTGCGGATCCGTTTCGTTTTTGCTCGGATCTGCGAAAAAAGTGACGAAGTTGTGGGTCCACCAACTAAAGAGCCAAAAGCTTACAAGCTAAAAAGTGCGAAAAAAGCTAAAAAGCTAAAAAGTGCGGACAATAGTGACTAACGTTTTGTTGGTGAGACACCAAAAAACCGGTAAAACCCACGAGAAAGGGGCTAAAAAGGTCGAAATTTAGGTATGAGAAACTGCAAGTTGCCAGGGGAATGGAGGAAGGATCCAACCTAGGTTCCCACATAAGACAGCAAGCCTGGGCAAGCTTCCCAGAGCAAGTCACGAGAAGTCAAACAAGGTTCCAGATCGCCTCAGGGTCCCAATCTTCATACGGATTTGTCTCTCTGACTCGGCGCAAACTAACCGGAAGCAACTTGAGGTTGGGCTGCCTCGGTCAATACGACCAACCAAATAAGGGAAAGCGAGGGCTCCGTCTCCTACGGTGGTGTGTAGGATTTGTTCATGCTGATGCAGCCTCATGTGGGATTTTCTCAAAAAGGTGGACCTTCTTTTGGATGTTTTGAAGGGGAACCCTAAGGAAAAGAAACCATTTCAGGGGTCCCCTATTTTGTGCCATACCCCTGTATGTTTGCTCTCAGGAAATGCGACAAAATTGGCTTGACCACGTTTTGGCTCACAATTTGGGGGCTTCCCCCAAAAAACACAAACCCAATGCGGGTAAACAAATTTTGGCCCCACAAGGAGTGCTGCTTTTTGAGCTTGATGAACCTCAGAGTAGGTTCTCATTGCTTGTCTTCTCCATTAGGTTGCAAAAGAAATAACAACATGCCACTCTCATCCTTGTTTTCCCAAACTATAGCTCTTGGGGGAAGTCTGGGCATAGACGACATCATTTTGGATTCATATCCCTTTCCCAACCCAGGGGTGCTCCACAGCCACGCGACTTCCTCTGATCCCTTTTGCACATCCGAATCGCTGAGCTGAAGATCGGCACATGTTGCTGCTGGCGTTGCTGCGGAAACCGCCGCGGAGCGCCAAACATGCCGCCTTGCACCACCTTCTCAAGGGGATATCAGAAAGGGCCCCTAATTTTGGCCCCCACTTTCTGGTTGCTTTTGAGAAAAGTATGTATCCGCGTCCAAACAAAGTCAAGAGGTCAGATGGTTCAAGCCATTGAGCAATCGTGCTTCGGCAACGGTTCAAAGCACTCCGAACTGGTTTCTACGAGATTCTCAGTTGACACCAGCCAGCATTGCCTATCATTGAATCATTGTTACACCGAGCCATACAACTGCTCACGTAGAGAATGTGTAGTTTGGATGCTCCCTTTGACCAGCGAAACGCAAATGTTTACAGTTGCTCACGACTGGTCATGTGTACGTCATGTGTACGCTTGGAAGCAGGCACCCCGCTACAACATGGCCATGGCAACCGACACAGCCACCCCCGGGCCAATAATATGTACCATCCCCGACCGATACTGCCCAAACGGCTGCACCCACCGGAGTCACTCATCAAGTAGGTTAAGGGGAAACAATTTGAGTCACGGCCTGTGACCCAGCGGTCCAAGTGGGCTCAGACCACGTGTCATGTGCTTTTTATTTAACCTCGCAAGAAACTTATGGCAAGGATTCTTGCTCTACCTTCCCTCCATGGAAGCTTGCAAGAGGGTTTGGCAGGACTCCTGCCAAGCTCCCCTGTCGACTTCCATGATTGTTGAAAAGAGGGTACCGCCCCATAGCCAAGGGAGCCAGTTCAGCCAACTCGTGACTACTAGTGATTCTTGGGGCCCATTTATATGAGTTTTCCATGGCTCCCCCTGCAAATTGGCTCTGAATCAGCGGACACTAACAGCTCTCTTCCCGCCTGCCAAATGGATCTCCCCTTCCAGCATCGCGCGTACCAACCGCACCACCTCCGCAGTACTGAGCCTCGGCTCTGAAAAAATCAGCCTGTCCGCTTTGGAGTCAGTACCCTCTTTCCAAAAGGGGCCCTGGTAAATGGTCCAATTCCTGGTGGTTGTATTTTGACCCGTACCCATTTCCCTTGCATCACAGTGGTTGGATAAACCGTGAACCCCTGGATCCCACAACAGTGAGGCCTTTCCAAAAGAACTGCAGTCCAAAACCCTGCTGTCAGCCAGTGGGAAAGGGATATGGTTTCCTGTTTGGGGTGGTAAAGGGAAACAAAGGGACACCAGCTTTTTGTGGATTGCTGTTTGAAGACGCACCCAATTGTGCTAGGCTCCATGACTCAGAGTCGAATTCCGCGTCTTTTCCCGTGTGCGCATCCGCACAGACAGACCAACACAAATAGACAGGCAGAAAGACGGACAGACACACAGACAAATGGACGAATGGACAGAGAGATACAGGGAAGCAGAGACACGCACACACACATACATTACATGAGCATCAACATACACACACACACACAGATGCACACGCCCGCACATACGATATGTACATGCCTGTACATATATTTGCATACACACGAACCGGCTATTCCCCGCAGCAGGGATTAGATACACACATGTAAGAGCAACGCAAGCAGACAAAATACACTGAACCGTAATGGTATGACTACTATAGATGCAAACGCGAATACACAATGCAAACATTCACTCAATCACAGACACAGGCAGAAACGCGAATGCATACGCAAACGTGAATGCAGAAAAGGGCAGAAGCAAATGTAGGTGGTTTGGGTTGATGTTTGTAGGTAAGACAAAATCCAAACCAGCAACTAGGCCTTCATTTGCTTAAGTCCCCAGCAAAAAATGAAACTAGCTTCCAGTCGCGCAATCGATTCCCTGTAAACCGGAAAAAAAAAAAGAGGAAACCAAAAAAAAAAACATCCATTTCAGCCAACGGAAGTAACAGGCCACCCCAACCAAAAGGATTAAAAAAAAAAAGCCAAGGCGCTGCAGCCATTCGACCTTGACCGCAGCCAGCAGCTCCTGAAAGTCGACCTGTGGCAAAAAAATGTTCCGCGCATCCCTCCTGCATTCCGAAAATGACTCAAATTGCTATGGGTCAAAATGCCGCACCCCCAGTGAACATCCCAATCCCCACCAAAATAGACTAAAATGGGTGGTGCACCCTAAAATGGGATACCATTGGTTTTGACCCACAGCCAAATGCGGTCTGTGTGTGTGTGTGTGTGTGTGTGTTTTTGAGGGAGGGACCCCTGGTGCGCATCACTTGGCTTGGGGTTTTATGTCCGCCAACCACTTTTTGAGGTGGCCCCCTCTTAAGTTTCATAGCCATGTGGGGTATGTGTTTTGTTCTTGCTCGTTTGGTGAAACCATGGATGTGTTGGCTTCCCAGCCTGTCTCTATGTTTAGATCTGGCGTTCGGTGAATTGTCCATTTTTTGTCTTGGTGTGGAACCTCCTCCTCCGTTTGGATAGTCCCCTGTGGGTTGAACATGGAGGAATGGCACTGTGTTGGGATGCCAGGAGTTAGGTCCCTCTGCCTCTCCCTCTCTGTCTCTCTCTCTCTCTCTCTCTCTCTCTCTCCCATCTTTCCCACCAATTCAAAAAAATCCCGTCCATAGGCCCCCCTTCTGAGTGAGGGGTGGGCCAATGCCTAAACATGTTGAAACCACCCTCACCAAACATTGCTTGGTGCAAGTTCGACTCCTGGAAGGCACGCAAACCTGGTATATCAGCAATACCCAGCTTTTGCCCAAAGGTCATATGGTTGATTCTGGTCCAAATTTAGCGAACTTCAAATGAAAACCTGACTCCAGATATGGGGACTGGGAACCCCCCCCAACACTCTTTGGGAGGTGTCCCCTTGGTGTACATTTCCAGCCCCAGGACACGAAAATGAAAGAAGTCATGCCCATACCGGGCTTTCTCAAAATGGTGGACCCATTCTTGGGATGGCTTTCAAGGGAAGCCACAAGGAAGCCATGCCATTTGGCTATGAGTCAAAAATGCGTACCCAGAATGGAACCCTGGTAAATGGAACCAAAGACTAAAACTTGCGGTCCCCTGGTGGTTTTATTTTGACCCATACCCATTGGAGCCACCCTGCACCCACCCGCGGAAAAAAGAAAAAGGCAACGCGCCTCCGTCGGGACGTTCTTCGAGAAGATCCTTACCGGGTCCACGTGCGGACTGCACAGCTCCTGGCACGCGAGAACGAAACCTAGTGTGACTGGTTGCGAAATCCTGAAACCGCACCACTTGGAAACCACGGGAAACCACTGTTTGTTGGTATGTACAGGGGAATCATCAGACATCAGGGTTTCTTAGGTGATGCAAAATTTCGTCCATCCACAGTATGGCAAAGGATGGAGGGATTCTACTCTTCGAAGAAATCCAGAAACCGCACCACCTCAGAGACCCTGATTTCGGATGATTCCCCAACGTAAAGACCAACAAAGCATGGGTTCAACCATGGTTTCCAAGTGGTGCAGGATTTTGTCCATCCACAGTATGGCAAAGGATGGAGGGACTCTACTGTCGGAGGAAATCCATAAACCGCACCACGAAATGAAACCATGGCTGAATCATGTCTTGTTGGTACTTACGGGGGAATTGAACTTCCAGGAGTTCTTAGGTGCAAGATTTCGTCCATCCACGGTAGGAAAAACCGTTCACCAAATGGCAGTGAGTGTGCCTTTGCTCGGGGGACAAAACAACTTTGGTTCTAAAGGGAAACCAAAAGGAAGCCAACCGTACAGGGGCGTCCTCCAATTTCGAAACTAACGCACTTATAAGTTTGGCAACCATTTCCCTACACAGGGTTCTTCCACTTCGCTCTTGGCTGAGCAACTCCACAAAAGGAGGACAAAACCAAACTGAAAGCCAAGGATGGGCCGAGAATAGGCCAATGATGAGCCAAGGACGCGCCAATGCGTCAATGACTCTAGATGTCAATTCAGAAAAATCGACCGCACTGGTGAATCATTGGGGACAAATTGAAACTAGTGGCATTCATCTCTTCCAAATTACCGACCTAGAAACAAACCGGGCCCTGACCATCATGCTGCTTGAACGTTGGACAGAGATATGCGGGTTAAAATTGAACCAGGGGACAGGTTAAATCGTCCATGATTCCATTTACAGGATTCCATTTTGGGGTTGCCCAAAAATTTGACCACCACCGCCATATCTTTGGAAACGAGCACTTCCTCCGCGGCTACTACTGTGAGGTCCTCAGAAAAGCGGCCGCCAACAGGCCACCAAAGTGTCGATCGGAGAGACATTCGAGTCGGTTGACCCAATATAAATCAAGCAACCAGTTCATAGGGTGCCTTTCCCTGGGTGAAATGTTGGGAATCAGACCACTTTTGGAGGGTAACATCCCCTATTTATAAGCTGGAAGTTGAAAAATATGGGGTCAACATTGCGTTGGGTATATGTTGGCTACCATGGTTTCGAATGGCTTCAAAGCAGCTTCGGCACGTCTCCTTCAAAATGTCTTCAAACAGTTGAAAATCGATGATGCCCTCGTTCGCCACAGCAGCGCAGCGACGCAAGATGTCCTCGCGATTAAAGCCTCGGAGATTGAAAGTGGATGGACTGATTATCTATTATCAGAATGGTCTCCCAAGCTTGGGAAGTGAGTAGGTCAGTGTGGTTCACAATACCTCGCACCGGTTCCGGTTCGGTTTCAATGATTTGCCAGCGCCAGGGATTTGGAAAAATCCGCGGCTGTTCATCTGAGCGAGTGCGAAACAAACACGAGCACTAATCGATCCCCCAACAGAAGAAGGGGAACTCTGTCATTTGCCGCCAATTGCCAGGGTGTGTGGACCGGTTCGCTTCATTTATATAGGGCACTGAAGCAGCTCGGAAGCCGTGGGCCGTGGAGCGTTCCCGTTGGGGGTAGGCATCGACCGGACGCTTGACCAGCCCCTTATCATGGCTCTCCAAATGTCTGAAAGAGTCCATGACCATCCCTCTCTCTGTTGCCGTCATGTTTGGTGTGTCGTGGTTGTGCACTAGCTTCCACACCTGTCATCTGTTCTCAGGTACCAGACAAAGCTACAGCCGCTGGTGGCCTCCGGCTTGACGGTCAAAGATCCGAAACTCGATTCCCAATGAGACTTCACAATGAGATGCTTCCGGGGCTGGGATCGTGCTTTGATGTGATTCTTGGATGAACCATTTGAACTGACACGGAGTAGGCGGTCTTTGGGTGAGGCGATGTTTCAAAGAACAGTACTGGCTGGTGCTGAGAAACCTCCCATCTGTTTGATTGCTCATTGGCCATATCTTGCTCATCCCTGAAACTCGCCCGGCTATGTGGGATGATTTAGAGTGAGCACCAAGCCTATGGTGGCGAAAGCTAAGTGAGTAAATGTTGGCTCTAGCAACCAGTAAAACCAAAAGTCAAAGAAGTAGCAGCTCTAGACTTGTCACAAAGTTCCAACCTTTGGCTTTGAACAATGGTCCAACTTGTCAAAAGTTCGAACCATTGGTCTTGAACCAATCAGATTCAGCTTGGCCCCTGCCTGTACAGACTTTGTGTCAAAACGCCGTGCCAACGCCATCCAGGCCCATAGTTCTTTCCCAGGTTGGCTCCAGGGCACAAACCAAGGCCAGGGCGTCTTGACGGGCGGCCGCCTCCGCGCGCCGCGCGCGCCAGGCACCCAGCAGGTTTACCAACCAAAAAGACCGAAGGGCCTTCAGCCATTTAGGTGCTACTGTGTTTTGCCGGCTTTGGGCGGTGGGGAACCAGTTTGGGCTTCTGTGTGATTTACCATACGCCTGGGCAAATTATAATAGAGCTTATCTTACAAATGGGTGAGCTCGTTCGAGTTTGCCCAAAAAACAATCAGAACCGATCTGTTTGAAGGGCCCCTCAGTTGATCAAAGTGAACGGACGCCCAAGTTAATCCCTTCTCGCGAAGCTGCCCCTCTGCGTTTGCTTAGCCTCGGGGCTGGCACGGTGAAAAATGGATGTGGCAGCTCGCTTTGATTTGATCTGATTTCCGCAAAGATTGCGCTTGAGGAAGTGTCAAGCAGCCAGGCTCCAAAACAATATATACCTCCACACTTCTATGAGGCCACCAAGGGCGACCGAGGCTGGGAGACTTCTGAAATCCTGCCACTTGCGCCATCTATCAAACCACTCAGAGAGAGATGGAGGCCATCCTTCGGGCACGGAGCACCGGTGCTTTCGGTGGAGTTTTCCACAGCCGAAGGACAACATCCGAAAGAAAGCCCCTCAAGCAGGCGCCAAGGTTCCAAATGGAAGGGTACTGCAATTCAAAATCCGAGTTTCCTCATTTTTTTGCAGGGCCTGGGTGGCTCTGTTGCTATGAGGCAGCCAGGCTAGAATTCGACCATGCAACCCAAGGTGACTTCGGCAAAGACCACCAGACCTGGGCTGTCCTCAGCTCCCCTAGAAGTCGAACACTTTCAGTCCACCAAGCCCACCAAAAAGCTTCTAAACAACACGAAGCACTTCCACCAGACCCACACAAAAGCTCGCAAAAAAAAGAGGTTGACCCACCCGCACGG